TAATTATCCAGTGTAATATAAATGAGTCCCCTGCAGGTTGGTTGTTTTAATAAAGCACACACAAAAATAAAAAAACTAAAGGGGACCAGCATTTGCTGGAGGAGGTATAATGAGCTGTTTGATGGGAGCTTGACCTGCTCATTAACTGAGGAAATTCATTCTGAATTGATTTTTTGTGGCCTGATGGATTTTTATCCCTTATTTATTTAATATTAAAATAGTATCTGTCACCATGTTTTTCACTGAGTCTCAAGGGCTACCTTCTGCACAGCAAGAGAGACCTCAGCAGGAGCTCCAGGTTAAGCAGAGAAAATCTCTCTCTTGCATTCTGGGGGTATTTATATGTTATTTTTTTTCTAGTGCATCCAAATAAAACTAGATGGCAAAGCCTGTGGGTGCTCTACCTGCAGGTGAAATACCACATAGCTAGGGACACTATTTTTCTCACCAGAGCCCTATCCTGCTAGCAGACAACTTCCATCTGTTTCCTTTGTGGAAAGGAGACCTGCCTCTTTCTGAACCTAGCTGGACTCAGCTACACCTCATTAACTCAAGCATACATAGGAAGTCTGGGGCTTCCCCCCAGCTATTGTCAGCTCAGTGAGTCCCCCCCAAAAAGACAATCAGAAAACCTGGTCCCAACACCTGCTGGGATTTGACCTCAAGTCCCCACATCACTGTTTGGCTCTGTGGGGTCTCTCTCTAGGGGCATAACTCCAAGCTGAGTGGACCGTGTCTGCAGGGTCTCAAGGAAGGTACCAAAGGGCCAGTATACCTACAACATCCCATTCGCGTAGTATCACAGAGTGGCACAGCATGAGCCTCTCAGTTAGCTTAAGCTAAAGGAAGTGCAGCCTGGTCATGTCTCCCTAAGGCTTCCTGGTGGAACACCTTGATACTCCGGAAGTGGTGCTGGTGGTTCCATAGATGGCAATCTTCCTTCTGAGTAACTCATAGAACCATTGAATCGTAGAACCATAGGGTTTACAAGGAACTGCAAGGGTCATCTAGTCTGACATGGGACAGATTCAGGAATAAGTTTATCTGTAGAAAGCGGGGAAGGAGATGGGATTTGCCTCTGAAGATGTCTGAGGAGCTGAACTCACAGTCCGGCTCATCAGATACCATCACCATCTGACATACCACCTATAGGTTGCTGGCTGGGAGGTGGCAGTGTGTCCGACTGGCAATGCTGTTTGTGAAAGGAAACACATCCTTCTGAGCAAGAGGACTTCGGAGGGAGGGGGGAAGAAATCATAGTAGATGGGGCTATAACGAAGAACCATTGATGGGAAGAACCAAGATGGACCCAACTGTGGTTTCTGTACAAGTCGATCTACAATCCATGCTATATATGCTCTGCAGAATGTTATTGAAAAATGACTAGGGCAACAAAAGGAAGTTAACATTACATTTATAGACTTTGCAGCTGCTTTTGCCTCAAAGCATTGATCAGCACTGTGAATACTGCTATGCCAGTATGGGGTGCCTGAGGCCTTCGTTAATGTGCCTGGTGGAGGAACTGTACCATGGTACATTTAGTTGTATGAGGGTCAACAGTTGCATTACAGACTGGTTTTTGATAGAATCAGGATTGTGCTAGGAATACATTATTTAACATTCTAATAGACTATCTGATGCCAAGGCTGATTTAGACCAAAGTAAGAAGTGTGAAATTTAAAGATACGTCTTTAGAAGAACTCGAGTATGCGGATTTTATTGTCTTACTTGGAGAGACTACTAACCAACTACAACCAATGCTGGCAGATCTGTGAAAAATTGCAGAATCTATTGGACTTAAGATCAGTAGTGATAAAACTGAAGCCATGCACGCCTCCTATAAAATGGAAATGAACACCCTGCCGATGCTACATGTAGATGACAATGACATTGAATGGTTTTATTATATATTGGGAGTCAGCTGGCAGCAGGAGGTTCTATAACCAAAGAAGTCACACAACGGATTGGTCTTGTGTCAATGGCATTTCACTGTCTTCAAAGGCCTCTGGGCAGCGAGATGTCTGTGTGAGAACTAAGATACAAGTGTTCAACTTAGTAATGATGACAATCCTGTAATATGGAGAAGAAAAATGGCCACAAGAAAAACACCAGAGAAAGGGAAATGAAACAGTTTTCAGCTTCAAAAGTTGTGGTGTATTCTTAACATCTATTGGTTTGATTTTGTCACAAACAAGGAGATACTTAGATGAGCCCAGTAAGTTGCAGTCTTGCACTCATTCGAAACAAGATGACTACAGTAGTGGGGTCATGTCCAACGTGCACAAGAGGGTATGCTTCTAAGGTTTGTAGAGCTGAGGTTGAAGGAAGTTGACCAAGAGTCAAACCTCATGAGGTTGGAAGATGCAATATTGAGGGATGTAAGAAGCCATTAATCCTCATATATTGACTCTTGTTGAAGGAAGAAGATTTGCAAGGGACTGTTCAAGATGGAAGTCCATTCACTACCACGCCTATATCATAGCCATGAGAATCTGCTGCTGCTACTGGGGTGCAGGGTTAGCATGCATAGATCCAGCTGCAGGATCAGGCCCTAAGTATGGCTTTAGGCATCCAAGTTTTAGACTGATAGACTTTAAGGTCAGAAGGGACCATCGTGATCATCTAGTTTGACCTCCTGCACACTGCAGGTCACAGAACCTCACCCACCCACTCCTGTAACAGACCCCTAACCTTGGCTGAGTTACTAACATCCTCAAATCATGATTTAAAGACTTCAACTTACAGAGAATTAACTATTTACACTAGTTTAAACCTGCAAGTGAACTGTGCGCCATGCTGCAGAGGATGGACAAAAAAAAAAAAAAATCCCAGGAGTCTCTGCCAGTCTGACCCGGGGGAAAATTCCTTCCCAACCCCAAATATGGTGATCAGTTAGACCATGAGCATGTGGGCTATACCAGAAAACCAGGTAGATACCTGGGAAAGAATTCTCTGTAGTAACTCAGAGCCCTTCTCATCTAATTTTGAAAAGTTTGGCCTTGGATTTGAAAATCTCTCCTTTCATGGACTGCCTCCCTGTAATGCTTTTAATCATTGTCATTGCCCTTCTCTGGCCCTTGTCTTTTACTGCAGTTAATACATTAACATGACAGTACATTACTGTACACACAGAGAAATATTAGACATTCATTGTACTTCCAGCCTTGGGAGGAATTTGTCAAAGGGATGATGAGAGGTACTGTTAGCTTCTTTGGGGGTTGAATTCTGCCCTGGGTTTAGGTACGCCGCTTCCCTTGACTTCAGCCTCACTCCCAGTCTCACCTGCTTCCATAGGTGCAATACAGCCCCTGGTGAATAAGCCCCATTTCCTATTGGTCACCTCTAAAGCTAATTTTCCTGGATTTCTATATTAATAGAAGTCTGGCACATACTTTACTGTACATATATAATGGCCCAATTTGTTATTTATGAGGTGCTATTCATTACAGTTTGACAGATGAAAGCAGGGAAGGAAAATCCAATTATACCTTTACTGAAAACCTCTGATTAACCTCTCTGAGCACATGGTGGCCTGCAGCTATGGCATCTGAGCTTGTGATCTTCTGAGCTCTTTTAACCTAAGCAGGAAGGGTGTTAGTGATTTGGTATTTGGCACTCTTCCTGCTAAGCCAGCAATGAACCAGGCCTCCCGCAAGCACGGGGTTATGATTGTTGAGGTGTTGTGGGTTGTAAAACCAAGGTGTCGTGAGCCTTTGTGGTCATTTAGTACCTCCTGACATTTTTCACCTGGGTAGGGGCTTTTTCTTGGTATCCTGGTCAAGTTCAAACAGAGAGAATTGCATTTTGCTGTCTTAAATTCCTCTTGCAGTTTCAATTGGATACAGTATTCTTCACTTCTTGCCCATAACTACTGTATATATTGCTGTTAAACAGCTGCCACATACCATCCCAGAAGTGGCTGCCTCTCCATGGGGGGGTGAAAAGATTCTTATTTAACTTGTAAACTGTTTGAGAGCCTTCTCGAGTGAAACACGGGGCATTCTCTTTATCCCTCTGTGGATGGAATGCTGGGTCATAAATCAGAATGAATGTGTTTTCATTTCTTTAAATAACACAGCTGTGATGCAGCTTGGAGGAGCAAGTGAGTTCAGTAGAACAGCTGTCAGCGTGTCCAGAACTGAAAGTCTCTTTGTCTTTTCTCAGGTGGTGAAAGGGAGCAAGAGTGAAGTTAAGACGAGCAAAGACTTACTGAACCAGCTTAAATCCAAATCGGAAATCTTGCAAAACCTCTCCTTAACCCAGTTCATAAGAAGTAAGTTGGTGTTTTCCCCTCCTTGGAAAGTCTCTGAAGTGACTCCTCTTCTCACCCAAGCATATATCGCCCTCCTAGCAACGAAGAGCTTGCTACTAATATGCACCACCAGTGATAAAAAGTCTAAGATGGGACTATAGCTTGCTCCATGTACACAGCTTGACTCGCAGATGCAGCTTTAGCACATAGCCAGGATGCAGTGTGCTAAAGTTTGCTCTGTAGAGCTGTTATTGATCTGATAATGCAGAACGTTTACGAGTGTATCAAACAAAGTACCTCGCGCCTCCCCGTATTAACCTGAATGACCTATTTCCGCTGTTAGTTCAGCACTTCCTAACAGCGGGCTCTCAACCTCTCACTGCACTGGTGGCCGGCAGGACCTCATGCAAACCAGGAAATGGGGACCCAGGCCTCAAATCTTGCCACCCTACCCTGATGCAGGGTCCAGCGGGAGCAGAGGGAGCATGCGGGAGTTTTGGCCTAGCACAGGGCCCACAGGGAGAGGGAGGAGCCTGCTTGAACCCTGTCCCAGCACAGGGCTCACAGGGAGTGGAAAGAACCTCCAGGAGCCCCGTCCTAGTGCAGGGCCTGGAGGACTCTGCAGCAGCTGTGTCCTGGCACAGGGCCCAGAGGAGCGGGAGGAGCTTCCAGGAGTCATCCCTGGCATAGGAGTTGACTCTTGCAACACTGCTGCTGTTGCTCAAAAGTACTAAACTTTCCCCACATGTCTAAAGTCATGCCATCAAGGGGGTTACCTCCGTTCCTTCCTAAAATCCTTAAAGGAAGCTATATCTGAAGGACCATGAGCGCATATAGGCTGGGAACAGTCTGCCCCTCCCAGTGCAATAAGTAAAATGGGCTCTGCTTGGAAATAGGATTTCTAGAGGTAAAATTCTGCTGTATAAAATGTCTGTGCCAGGTTATCTTCATCTGTCACAGCTGGCTTGTCTAGAAGTCAGAGTTGGCTAATGTACTATGGTGTTCTTATAAGTACAGCGAAGGTCTGCAGGTTTCATTCTTGGAGTGTATTCCAGTGGGGGTTTTGAAGGAAATAATCCCAACTGTGGCTCTCACTTTAGAAAAGTGACTTTCTGATGTTGGCCTCATGTTTGCTTCCTCTCAGTTTCCTAAATCTCATCACTATAATTTGCTGGAAGCCCTGATTTTTATTACCCCCAATGCAGAGCTGACCCAGCCATGGGAAAGCGAGCTGGAGTCTCTTTGTTACACCATTCACTTGCTAGCTCTGTTCTAAATTAAACAAGCAAACTGGGTTTTTTTGATCACCTGTTGCCCTTGTTGCATTATCATTTAGGAATATCTTGTTGCAGCTGATACACAAAGCAAATTTGCTATGGGAAATGTAAAAATAATTTCCTCTGCTTGATAAAGGTGGGAACAAATTCACCTTTTCTTCACCTGGAGTTGTGAGAGCAGCAGAGCATGGGAGTCAGGACTGCCACCAATCAAGCTCAG